TAAAGGAAATTTAGATAAACAGTAAATAAAGCAAAAAAGCCAGCACATTTTACTGTATATGTAAATTATTTTATAAAAAATATTTAAATTTATATTGACTTACATATAAATTTACAACATACATAACTATATTTTTATATCTTTTATATGATAGATGGTTTTACAATAAACAATTTCTTAAATGAGTTACTTAACAATACCTATCTAAATTCAGATATTTCAAAAAACTAAAGTTATCTTACGCGTATTGTCTGGTCATCAGATGAAGTCAGAAATAAAGATCCGTCTGGTGAAAATGTCACACAGTGAACCCAGCTCATGTGTCCTCTGCAATATGCCACTTTTGATAAAGACTTAATATTCCATAGCTACAATAAAAATATGAAAGAAAAACTGAAATGGATTTAGATTGCATTTACAGTGAATACAGTGCAAGTACACTTAATTACTATGTCTTCTAGTTTTTTCTTAATTCTTATTCTGAAATCAAATGTAACAGGAACTGTGCCTGGTTTTGACATTTCAATGGTCAGGGAAATGGATCAACAGCCTCTTTGGCTGCCATGATTTTAAAAGATACAGGAAAAAAAAAAAAACAACCCAGTAAAAAGAAAATACAAGCTCTACTTGACCATACAGATTGAAAAACCAAAATACCCCAAAAACAACAACAACAAAAAAGCCCAAACCAACCCCAACCCCTAGCTTGCTATTTGTACACATCTCCTCTAGCCATGCTAGCCTCAAAGTTATTCTAGATGTTCCCTTCCTTCTTAAGTACCAGCACACAGAAGGAGAGAGGGTTTGGTTTGAGTTAAGAAATACTCCTATGAGTGACAAGAGCAGCTTTAGACTGTCTTAGTAGACTAGTCTAGTTTTAGATAAATGTGGGTTCCATTGTCCAAAATGACCATGTAACTTTAAAACATTTTTCCCAGCTGGTATTTTAAATTTGAGAAGAAAATTAAAAAGAATGGAGCACACCAAAAGCCTGCTAAAAATAGCTTCATTTGTTTTATTACTGAATACAAGAAATTATCAGAACAAATGTAATATTTTAAATTGCAAGTAGTCTTCCATGGTATATTGCAGACACTTACCTCAACAGAGCAGTGAGACAAAGCAACTGCTACTAACTCATCCCCAGGACAGAAGTCACAGTATTGGATTGTGCTGTGATGGCTGACAATGACTTGAGTTAACAAACCACAGGTGCTGATATCAAAAAGCTGTGAACACATAATTACAGTAGAAACCCTGTTTGAATGACTTCACTATTGACAAACAGCTTATATGCTGACCACTGTACATTCCTGAATTCAGAAAGTATTTCTCTTAGGCACAACTTTGTTGACCACATATTTTTACTTAGACACACTTGAAATCAGGCACTTCTATCTGAAAGATCTTAACAGCCTGGGATTTCATCTGTAATCATAATATCTATCTATATTGTAATACACTACCTCCAGAAGATTACTAAAGTGAGGTACTTACCAAAAGCTTGTTTTTGGCTACCACCAAAAGCATGTTACCATTTCT